ACCAAAATGCATTCTAGTAAAATTACTAGACATTTAAGGAAAGCATGAACCAAGTATTTTACACCCAGCAAAATTGCCATTTCACATACGAAGGGCACAGGAAAACTGATATCAACATGCGAGGACTCAGGAAGGATTGGTCTCATGAGCTCTTCCTGAGGAATCTTCTAGAGGACACGCTTCAGAACTCCTCAATGACTAGAGACACATCAACAAAAGCACTAGCGATATTAAATATATAGTGACTGATACAACTAAATCTAAATGAGGGTTGAAAAAAAGAGAGAGTATAGTATGCCATGGCTATGTGATCTAACAGTGTAGATATAGTTCGACCATTTAAAAAATGGAGAATGGGGATGGCATCTACAAAGAAAAATTTTCAGTAATTATAATCGTTAAAGACAGTATCAGTAGTATTAGAGATACTTTAATTGTTTCATCCCGTGTCCTTGAGAACCAGCATTCTTGGTGTGGAAGAAAAGAGACATAGTAGATAGAAGAGGTTAACTAAAAATTTGGTAATCTAGAATTTGAATTGGACATACCAATATGAACCGATGAGGTATTTTACCACATGAATATATAATTTATATACACGCGTATATATGTATATAATATTTCGCCTGCCTCTATTCACTGAAAAGGTCAACTAAAAATTCGCTAATCCAGAACTTGAATTGGACATAACAATATGAACTGATGAGGTATTTTATCACATGTATATATAATTTACATACATGCGTATATATATATATAATATTTCGCCTGCCTCTATTCACTGAAAAGACCTAGAAACAATATCAAAGCAGTAGCAATGAGCACTTCCAGCACTCAGATTGTTGTCTTGAAATACCACTTCTCATACAAAGAAACCAGGATTTCTTGGAGAAATAGCTGGTCCCAGCTTTGGGACAGGAAATGTATAAGATGAGAGTGGAATACTTTGATATACCAGATAGGAAGGAAGCTATTGAAGTTTACTAGGGTCATGTCAAAGGGGCATCAAAGTCAACCCAGAAGACTCCATCAGCCAAAAAGGGCACTTTGAGCTTCAATAAAGAAGTGCAATGGATCGAAACTCATTCGATACGTTTAAAGCCATGAGTTCAAAATGATATTTAGGAAGCTGACTGGGTCACCTTTTGAGGAAGGAAAAAAAAACAATTCCAAAAACAAGGTAAATAAGAGGACAGAATTGAGAATTTTTCCTGCCTTTCCTCCATGAGCTACGCCAATGAGTACAGCAAGTAAGGGGAAGTGATTCCTTGTAAAGTGTTCCAGCTAATAAATGGAAACAAATCGATGGAACTAGAATTTCACCAGTTTGCAACTTCCCAGTGAATTAATGGGTCTGGGCATTGAGCATCAACAACTGCTAACATCAAAAAAGGAACAAAACCCAGCCACGGTGTGCCTCCTCATTAAAGAGCATGCCACACTTCTAACCGCACCAGAAAGATCAGACCAAGCTCTGCTCAAGTCTCTGGATCCAGCTGCAGATTTGGAAGAGACATGGGGTCAGAAACACATGCTGAAAGGTACCATGAGGATGCAATCAGCAAAACCCAGACTGACAACTCCACAGATAAACAGCCTGGGTTCTTCGACAGAAACTGGAAGGAAAAGAGATGGGAAGGAAACCTACCAATTAAAGGCTGAAGAGGCAGTATTTTTTTTTTTAAGTAGGCAAGACTAGTGTCTAGGGATGCACTTACGATAAAACCACAAAGAACATAAGGAGAGTGATTACTTTTGGGAGAAGGGATGCTGCAACTCGGATGAAGCACAGGGAGGGGCTTCTGGGGTGGCCGGTGTGATGGTTAATTTTATGTGTCAATTTGGCTGGGCCACAGTGCCCAGGTATTCGGTCAAGCATTATTCTGGGTATTGCTGTGAAGGTGTTTTTTCGATGATATTAACTGAAATCAGTAGACTCTGAGCAGATTACCCTCCACATGGTGGGTGGGCCGCATCCAATCAGTTGAAGGCCTTAAGAGACAAAACTGATCTCCCCAGATCAAGAAGGAAGTCTACCAGCAGACAGCCTTTGGACTTGAACTGCATCTCCTCCCTGGGTCTCCAGCTTGCAATTTTGGACTTAACAAGTCTCCACGATCGCGTGAGCCAATTTCTTAAGATAAATCTCTCTATATATATGTATACACGTCCTGTTGGTTTTCTCTCAAGAACCTTGACTAACACAGGTGTAAAGTTCTCTTTTTTGACCTGAGTGGTAGTCACAAAGGTGTTCACCTTATAATTCATTAAGCAATACACTTGTTTGGTATGGTTTTTAATACATTTTATTTTATAATAAAAAGCTAAAAAATAAACTATAATTTGTATACAGGTATGTAAGCATGTAGAAAGGGGATGCTAATGATGAATACCAAACTGACATGTGCAATGTCTAAGGAAGAAAGAAACGGCCACATTTTGCCTGGAATGTTTCTGTGTTATGTGTCTCTCGTGCCGGAAAAGCGTGTTTGTACGCTTTGGATATAATTAGAAAAAAAATTCTGGTCCTAGTTGTGACATACATATAAAGATCACCCTTATTAGAAATCTAATAGAAAATGGCTTAAGAGCCCATTTCTCTGGGGAGGGGGGCGGTGTTGAACCCTAGGAAGAGAAAAAAATCAAAGCATTGTGACTTATGAAATTGTCATTTATGTAAGAAATGAAACAGCTGCTATTATCATTTAGAACCATGAATATTCATGTTTCTATACTTGTTAAATAGGTAAATAGACTTTTATCCTACAGGGAGGACAAATAAAGAGAAGCAGGATCAAGAAGGTAGTTAACAGTTCTAGAAAAAACAGCTTTTACCATTTGTATTTTGAGGCCTTTTAAGATACTCTCTCTTTAAAAATTCTAGTTTTCAGTATTTGCATTTCTTTATCAGCCAGCCCTGGGGGTTGCCCATTGTTGAGCATTAGTGATAAAACATGAAGTAACTTTACTGTACTTGTTACTTAAAACCTAGAACACTAAAAATCTGTAGGACAAAACAATTTAACCTAAAGTCATACCAGGACAACCTTTCTGAGAAAGAAAATCTGTTCATGCTGCTAAAAAGAAATCAGCGTATTAGAAACACGCGTGTCGCCCTTGAATTTGTCACAGACATAACCCAATTTGCCAGTATCTCACCATTTATCCCATTCAACTTCAGACTTCAAAGGCATCAATTGTCGTTAAATCAGATTTCACTACTGAAGACCGGTCTAAGTGTTGCATTTAGTGTCACTTTTTCTCTTCACTGTCTCTCTAGCTATCTAAACAGTCGTCTAGCTATGTAGCTTTTTAAAACACAGCTTTCTTGAAATATAATGAGCAAGCCACGTAATTACATTTATGTGTACAATTCGATGGTTTTTATATATTCAGATTTGTACAATCACCACCACAATCAATTTTAGAACACTTTCATCACCTCGAAAGGCATCCTCATATCCATTAGCAGTCACTATCTCCCCATTCCCTTTTAACGCTCACCTACTTCGTTTTTATAGATTTGCTTATTCGGGACACTAGATATCAATGGAATCACGTGCAGTCTTTTGTGATGGGCTTCTCTCACATGGTTAATGTTGCAGCATGTATCAGTGCTCCATTCCTGTGTACTGCTGCATGATATTCCATTGCATGGACGTGGGTAGCGTTACTCTTACGTGCCTTTAGCAAACCCATCCTCAGTACCTCCCCACCAAGGGAAACAAAGGCAAATAAGGCAGCCCTTTGCCCTCCAGGAGCTGAGATGACCCTCTCCTCCCACCATGGTGTAAGAGATGTAAAGAAAATGCAGACAGACAGGAGAGAGGAGGAAGTTAAGGAAGTTCAAGTGATGCAGGACAGGGCGCATTTCCACAAGTGACGGGAGACCAAGCCTGCACCGAGAGAAGAGGGTCCTTTGGTGGAGAGTGTAGAAAGAATTCAACACACGCGCCAAAGTTAGAGTCAAAAGGAAAGTTTATTAGAAAAGGGGGAACACTCCAGAGACAGAGAGCATGGTCTCTCAGAGGCAGAGTGAGAGGGACCAAGAGAGATGTGGAGAGACAGCGAGTTAGGGAGCTGAGTGTTTAGGGAACCGTTTATGCATCATTTTTTAGAATCTGGGAGTTATAGTGTAAAAGACTTTGATATGGACATACAGTGCGGAAGGGGAATAGTATGTAGCGTGAAAAGCTAAGATTACGTAGAGTGAAGAGCATGCTGGCATTTCCCAGCCCTTAATCCTTCGGTTTCCCAGGGTTTTAGCCATAGGGAATGACCCTTGGTTCCTGTTTCCCCTTCACAGGTGTGGGGAATGGGTTGTTAGTAATCCAGCAGAAGTCTGTGTTCTTCAGGTGTCTTTGCTCTGAGCATCCTCCCGGCGGGCTGATCGGCACATTGCAATCTCTGAATGTGGCTTTATGAATTATTTTAATTCTCTTGCCTCCTCCCTATATTACAAGGAAGGAACGGCACTTTCAGACAGACTTGTCAGATGGAGGGAAAGGCACCCTGGGGCCAGAGGAAGAGCAGGAAGTAACGGCGCAGGAGGCTGAAAAGTCCAAGGAGAGCGGCGGCCGGCACAGCTGCTGGAAGGGAAGAGGGGGAGGGGCCAGGAGACTA